ACTCTGAGAACGAAACTGAGGGTTCCAGAGGGGAGGGTGTGGGGGGATGGGTTAGCCTGGTGATGGGTATTAAAGAGTGCATGTACTGCATGAAGCACTAGGTGTTATACGCCAACAATGAATCATGGAACACTACATCAAAAACTAACGATGTAATGTATGGTGATTACCGTAACATAATAATAAAAAAAAATAGACACATGGACCAATAGAACAGAACGGGGAGCCCAGAGTTACATCCCACAGATGTATTCAATTAGTATTTGACAAGTGAGCTAGGAATACTCAATGGGGAAAGGATTGTCTCTTCAACAAATGGTGCTGGGGAAATTGGACAGCCACATGCAAAAAAAAAAAAAAAGAAAAGAAAAGAAAAAGAAAAAGAAATTGGGTCCCTATTTGTACCACTCACAAAAACTAATTCTAAATAAATTAAAAACTTAAACATAAGACGTGATACCATAAAAATCCTAAAAACACAGGGAAGTTACTCCTTGACATTGGTCTTGGCAACCATTTTTTGACTACGGCACCAAAAGTATGAACAACAAGAGTAAAAATCAACAAGTGGGACTGTATCAAACTAAAAACATTTTTACACAGCAAAGGAAACCATCAACAAAATAAAAATGGGATCTATGAAATGGGAAAAAAATATTTGCAAACTATATATCAGATAAAAAAGCAAATATATAATTACTGTTACTTTAACTAAGATCTTTAGTGAACTGAATAAATTCCTGCCACCCCTTCAAAAGTCTCCAAATGCAGTTTTCCCTTAAGCAGAGAATTTGTCTTGGATAATTTAATGCATGTATTCCTTTGAACAAGTTAGAAAGATGGGGCTATGTTTCTCATCATGGGAGTGAATGGCAATATACATTAAGAAATAATAGAAAATAACCCGAGTAGCAAAAAGTAGTATCAGAAGCAGTGTTTTTCCAGGTTTCTGGGATCATGAGGACTAACCAACACATTCCATTGACAAAATTTCAGGAAATGAAAGGGACACATATAAGTATAGAGACACATGAGACTATTCCAAAGTGAAAAAATAATTGAACAAGATGGTAACAAGTAATTATACACAACAGCAGCTATATTACAAGAAATTGCAGTCCAGCCCACTTGTTAACTTCATTTGCTGGGTGAGCTCCCCACCTTCAATTCCCTAAGAAACAAAGTCCAGGTCCTCAGCCTCATGTTATAGAAAAGTCTCAATGTATAGATTCTTTACTTTTTTGCTGTCAGACAGCCTGTTATATGTCCATGTGAAACATGACGCTGAATCACTATATTATCATGGATAAAATGATTGATATTAATATCCCATTTTCCAAAGTGGAAATTTCAGAGGTTAATGACTAGCCCAAAGCCTCACTGCTGACATGTAGCAGAACACAGTTTCCAATCAGACAGGCAGGTTTCTAAAGCCAGGCTGTCTCATGGCACCTTGAAGCCCTAGACATTCAGTTAACAATGGATCTTCTCACACAAACCCCCTCACTTAATTTTTACAACCATCCTATAGAGTTGATATCATTTCTGCTTTCCAGATACTACTGATGAGGAAACTGAACTTTAGAGAAGTAATGATTTGACCAAGGCTGCTTAACCAGTAAGAGTTGGGGTGACACACAAATCCAGATCTTCTAACTACAGAGTGTCCATAAATATCCACACACCCATTGACTTAACCATGTCCATAAATATCCAATCTGTGTCCATAAATATCCACACACCCATTGACTTAATTAACCATCTTTAACATTTAGCTTCATGAGTTCAATTTCAGTTAAAGCACGTGTACATCCATGAATGGATTCACACCATCATCCACCTAAAAGACTGTTCAAAATGAATATTGTTTGAAAATCCTTAGAGGTAAACTTCACATACACATTCCCTAGCTAAAACCACATGCCCCCATCTTAGACCAGGCTCAGGAGCATCAGGTCCCAAGGCCAGCTTCCCTGAGTGGTATTGACCCCTAGCCTTTAATGTTTTGTCAGAGTGTAGGACTTAATCTGCACCTGCTACCAATGAAAATGGGGGGGGGGGGGGCGGAAACAGAAAGCAAGAAGAAATAGTATCCAAATACCTCCTTCTTTTCAATCTTTCTTTTGCTATATCCCAGGAGGAAAAAATAATCAGAGGACAAAGGGCATCTTCGAAAGGAAATCCAGCTAAGAGGCTCAAGTTTTCATGTAATCATCTCTCCTCTTGTTGCTCATACTGTGTTTGCAGGTCTTGTGATAACTTTGTGAATCATGGGGAGCACTTCAGAGCTCTTAATTATTCCTTCATATCTTCTGCATATGTGCATATATCAAAAAGTGCCAATAGTTGAGCTGTTAGAACTTCCATTCACCCTCAGTTTCCAGAAGGCAGGGCTGGCAAGATTAGTGGCTTTAAGATGAAAGGTTGTCTCTCCTACACATTTTCCTTTTCCATCTTGCTAAAGATAGACTATGATTCTGGCAAAATGAGTCAGTGAGTAGATGAATAAGCAAATCAATGAATGAATGTATGAATAATCAGATGAATGGATATATGGATATAAGAATCTGTGTGTATTTGGAAGGAAATCTAAATTTGTTAATGATGCTATTTTGACCACTTCTGGCATCAGATTGGACACAGTGAGCCTGGGGACAAGTTTATTTTCTCTCTCTAAGCCTTCATATATCTATAGCTCTATGTATATGTCTGTGTCTGTATCTATAGCCGTATCTGTGTTTATGTCTCTCTCTCTATACACACACACACACACACACACAAACATATTTATCTATCTATATTGACATCTACCATGGTGGATTGTTATGTGTACCAGAGATAAGGTATATGAAATGACCTCACATGAAACAATAACACAGCATCTATACCTTAGACTGGGTGGTTCTTTTCTTCTTCTACATACCATGGACATTTCAAAACTGTCAGTCTTTATTTCTCTATTTATTGTGTTATTAAATAATTACTTTTCTTTGGTAATTTATCAGAGTTTTTCTATATCGGTACCGACATTTTTGGAGTTACAGGTTAACCATTTATGTAATATTGTTATTTTTACCAATTATAATTAATGTCTTATTATCACTTTCAAAGTCAGAACCTAATAACCTTCATTTTGATTTGTTTTTCAGACTTTATAGAAAATGTAATTCTGCCTCCACTAAACATTGGAGACATGGTTATCACTGGGCTGGTTTTAGGAAATAGTCTGAAGATGAATCAGAATTCTTGAACAGAGTTTAATATTTTTGCTGCTAGAAATATTTCCTTTTCTGGATTTGGAAAATTCTTTAGAGATAATGGAAACCAAACTTTCTTCCTCTCCCCTCTCCTAATATAGTGAAACAGAAGTGCAAGCAGTAAAGTTACTTTTCCAAAGTCACATATAGAGTTAGGGTAGAGAAAGTATTAAAACTGGGGATCTCGGTTGCCTGTGCTTTTCCTTTTTTAGCTTAATATGCTGACAGCTGTGATCCTGCTTCTAAGTAGTACTAATTAATAATAGTTTTAGTGTGGGCACTCATCACTATTGTCTAATAGATATGTGTTGGGTCATTTCTTTACTTCCTAGACCTTGGTTTCCTCCTTTATAAAAACTAGGAGGGTGAAGTAGGAGGGAAACCACATGATAGCTATGTCAAGTTATTTTTTAGCTCTGAGAATCTGTGAAGAGTAATGATGCTAATATGTGGGCAAGATTCTCAGATGACAAAAGCTTTTTGAGTCTTCCTATTTCCTTCTTTGCTTTATTTGTGAGCATGTTCAGAATGAAATTCAATGTCTAATTGCAGTAAATGTTTTAGTCTAGGGTATTAGTGCAGAATGTCTGATAGATCTCAGTGCCGTGCAACTTCATATGTTTGGTTGCTATTCCATAGAAACAGCCCTGCTGCTGGGATTGCTGTATTTTTTTTTTTTCTGATAATAAAACTGAGCCCTAGAAAATTTCTCTCCTCTCTTCTCACCTTCCATTCTTACCTGTGGTAGGTAAAACGTGTCCTCCAAACCTAATGTGAAGGCCCTCATCTCTGCATATTATTTTATTGTAAACCTCTTAAAATAATTTTTTGGCAAATAGAGGAAGCATAGAGAATTAAAAAAAAAAAAAGGAACTTCGGTTAAGTGCCTTGTATATATGGTGTGGATCATACAATCTTATCGTTGTTAATTAGGTGTATTTTACAGGTACTTTCTACATGGAGATCTGTGTACAGCAAACATTCAATGTGATACTTGTGTTTCTGAGACAGTTATCTACGCTAGTATTTGTCTTGTGGGGGAGTGTGTTCTCAGTAGCTAGAAGCCTGGGCTTTGCAGTCAGACACCCTGTGTTCCTATTCTTGCTTGGTCACTTGCACATGGGTAAGCTGCTCAGTCCTGCTCATTCACTTTTCCTTAATTTCTTTTTTATTTTCATTTAATTTTATTATGTTATGTTACATTACATCATTAGTTTTTGATGTAGCGTTCCATGATTCATTGTTTGCATGTAACACCAGTGCTCCATGCAATATGTGCCCTCCTTAATACCCATCACCAGGCTAACCCATCACCCCAACACCTCCCCTCTAAAACCCTCAGTTTGTTTCTCAGAGTCCATAGTTTCTCATGGTTCATCTCCCCCTCTGATTCCCCCCCACCTTCATTTCTAACTTCCTTCCAATTTAGGTTATGTCAGTTTAAAATGAGATGATGGACATTAAATACTTAGCATAAAGGGCTCCACAAATTTAGTTCCTATGATTATTAACCCCCACACTAACTCTGGGAGGAACTCTATGAGAAAGAGAAATTTTCTGGTCATTTTTATTTGCATGAGTGGAGCACTCAGGTGGATTGATTGCCCCATGTTGAGCCAAGCATCACATCGCTTGGGTGATCCTCTTCCCCATCCCCCCACCCCCAGCTTTATTGAGTTATATAAGTATGATCCTCTTTTGACCGACATTAGTCTCCTTCTTTGGGTTATGTTTTCTGAACAGAGGACAAGATTTGGACATCAGTTCAGCACAATAACACAGAGCTGACCCGTGTGAAGGGTGCGGATCCTGAGAAGCCCTATACCATGGCCTTAGATTATGGTGGCAGCATGGAGCAGCTGGAAGCCATGATTGATGGTTCAGAGCACTGTGAGCAGGAGGTAGCCTACCACTGCAGAAGGTCCCGCCTGCTCAACACGCCAGGTAAGGCTCGCCCCCACTCCTCTGCATGAGTTACACAGGGTAACCACAGATAGGTCTGGAAAACATGGAATGTCAAGGAAAGGGGTGTTTTCCCACAAGGGAGCTGCAGTGATGGTTGTTCACTGTGCAGTGGAAAGAAAGGAAGTCAGGAGAAGACTGGGGATGTACTCATCCTGGCTCTGATTCCCAGATGTGACCTAAAGGAAGCCTCTCATGGTAGCCTCTCAAGATTCCATCCTCATCTTCAAAAAGAAAATTGTGACAATACACATCCTTCAGTAGTTGAGAGAATGAGAAGTTTCGTGAGATTAATAGCACTAGGAGAGAGCACTGAACTAGACATAGACGGTGTGGAGGTGGGAAGGGAGGTTTCTGGGAAAGGGAACATTTCCCAGAATATGAGAAAGCATGAAGGATCTTGGCATATTCACCAAAGAAAAATGTGTTATGTCCAGGGCAAGAGATGCAGAGGGAAGTGGTATCAGGCAAAGGGGCCAACAGGGCAGGCAGAGACAGCCTTGTGTGTTTTCAGTATTAATGTTGCCTGGAAAGTGCAGGCCCCAATGGAAATGATTCTTTTTAGAAATAAAGTTTGCTTTTAGAGAAAAAAAAAAAAAGACAAACAAAAAAACTTCGATGACTGCTTACCACAACAGAAAAGGGTTTTTGCAGAATATCCAGAGGGTTTTGTCAAAGTTCAAGGATGCCCTGGGAGTCCGTCATTTTTGTGAATATCTTCATCATTTGTATCATGGCACGTGCACACACACACACACACGCACAAACACACACACACACAAGCTGAGAATCATAAGGGTGTGCAATATCCAAGAATGGTGTCACAATCTGTCGCCTCAAGAAATTTACAATCCCATGCTTGGAGGTTAGGAATTTTGAAAGGCTTGAGAAGATTAGACAGTGGAATGTCAACAAAGAAGTGACAGAAGCCTAACTAAATATAACACACCGCCTCACTGATCTAGAATCTTTAGGAAAAACCTTGTTCCACATAAGTGAATTTTCCAGATAACTGTCACTTATCCCTTTAAGCACCAAAAATGTTTTCAAAGAATTTTTAACTATTTGAAATGAAAATCTTTCTCAAATGGATTACATGCTTCCCTGCCTTCTTAAACAGAGAGTTCTAAACATAAAATGTAACCTTTTCTTGATGACTCAGGATCATCATTATGAAAATCAATTATTGTACTCTCCTTGGATTCAGCCATGCTCACAGGGCTGATTAGATCTGAGGCACTGGTTGCTGTCCCTCCTCCCGGCGTTCCTCCCGGAGTTCTTAGATGGTGCTGCTTGAGAGGCTCAGTGTGTATACTTGTTTGTATTTCTCTCTGTCTTGGCTGTCAAGCCTGCACCTGTCACTCTCGGCACTATTCAGAGTACCTGTGTCTGGAAAACTAACCTACTCTCTTTTCATTGTGTTGCTTCTAGTTTTCTAAGGATCGGGTTTGATGGAATTTTAGGAAAAATGGGATTCTGTTCATTTGGACCATGGATTTCCTTTAGTCTATGTATTATGTGACATCAATTTGGTAATACTATTGCCTTTGTACATGTTTTTCTTTCTTTCTTTTTTTTTAAATTAGCTGTGATGAATTCCCTGAGTATACTCAAGTGGGTGGGCATGGATTTGGGGCAGACCATACTAGAGTAACTTTGCCTCTTACTACTTATAGAAACTCGTGCAAGTTGCTAAATTTCCACTAGCAATTTCAGCACCTGAGCAATTTACACGAAAATCCTCAATTAATAAGGCTGATGTGAGGACTGCAGGAAAAATGTACTCTACACTCTTTTTAATGTGTCTAGTACTCATTAGGTGTTCAACAAACACTGGGGTCTTATTTCTTTCCTCCTCCACAGCTTCCATCCCAGCAGGAAGGTCCAAATTTGCACTGCAATGAGAAACAAGCTCAAAGGATTACTTTATTTCTATTTTAATGGTGTAAATAGAATAATTATAATAATTATAACTCCTGCATGCAGATAATCTCACCACCCAGAGACTCGACTGTTGGATTTAGTTGTGCATCACTCCAGATATTTTGTGTACATTCCCATTTTGTGCACATTCACAAAAACACAGTGAAAACATACTGTCTATATGTTAGGGTTGAGAATACTCATTAATCCCCTTTTCCCCCATGGCTTATGAATCAAATGAGGTAGATGAAAGAAGACAATGGGTATGTGCAGACTGTGTCTACATTTTTTTGGTGGGCTGGCTTGCAGAACATGGTGTAGACCAGGCACTGCTTGTGTGGGGGGTGGGACTACAGACAGATAGCCCCATAGAGATGTGGCCCCAACCTCACACCCCTCAATGCAGGGACAAGCACTGACTCAGTTGGGCTAACCTCACAGAAACAGGGGCAGAGACAACAGTGCACACCATTGTAGGCACGTGAATTCCAGAGCCAGGGCCTAGCATACTACATTTGTTGAACTGCTATAACAAAATAAGACAGATTGACAGGCTTATAAAAAGACAGAAATTTATGCTTCATGGTTCCAGAGGCTGGAAGTCCATGATCAGTGTGCCAGGATGGGTGGATTCTGGTGAAGGCCCTCTTCAGGTCACAGACAACTCACTTTTTGTTATATCCTCACATGCCAGAAAGAGAGTGAAAGACCTTCTTGGAGTCCCTTTCAGAAGGGCACTAATCCCATTCATGAGGGTTCCACCCTCATGATCTAATCACCTCCCAGAGGCCCACCTCCTAATATCATCATATTGAGGGTTAAGTTTGTGACATATAAAGTTTGGAGGGACTTTAACATTCAGTCATTAATAGGCACACACTTGAAAAGTTGTTTTCCTCATCTTTCTAATTATTTAGGCAACCCCATTCCCATGGGGGAAGACCACAGAAAGAAGGGGAGGTGAGTAGAATCCATCTCCTCCTTCCTACCTGCTATATGGAAGAGGTGAGCAAGTCTCTCCCTTACCTGCTGAAGCCAGAGACCCCAGTGATACTGTTTTATTACCTTATTTGTCACACACACACACGCACGGTATATATATATCTTTCCATATTAGTAAATATGACTCTATATCATAATGTTTATTAACAACAGAGTCTTCCATATACGGACATACCACAATGGGTATATAAAATTAACACATCTATTTTGGACATTTAGTTCTCTCTCTCTCTCCCTTTTTCCAATACAGATGCTGCAAGAACATTTTTTCCACATAGATCTTTGAGAACAAAGCTGATTATATCCTTAGGATAAATTCCTTGAGGTGCCATTGCCAGGGCAAAGAGTGTACATATTTTTAAGGCTTTTGCCATATTGACTTCTGCAACATATCAAGTTTATACCAATTTATATTCCCAAGAATACTGTGGGATTGAGTACCCACTTGTCATCAACATGGATCTTATTTTCCCTTTGGTAATCTGAAAAATGCAGAAGGGGGTCAAAGACAATTAAGTTTTGTTTAATTAAAACAATGTATAGTATGATTCCCTTAGGTTATTGGAGGGAGATACTGCTGGTAGCCAGGATTAGTAGAAGCTATAAAGTGTTATAAATTGAGGCGACTGTGGACTTAAATCAATAAGGAGAGAAAGTGGAGGATGCTTTATTTGCTATAGATTCTCCTCTGTATTACACACAATAGATAATATAGAGAAGAAATAAAAGAAGGCAATATGAGACAAAAATAAATAACTGTTCAAATGGCCACCAATGACGAAGCATTTCTCGTGTTAGCAGCTATGTCTGGGGAGCCATATAAGCATTATCTGTAATCCAGGCAAGGGCTCTGCACAGTAAGGGTAGTTACCCCTGTCTGGTATTTCAGGAAATAGAACCTCAGAGATGGGAATGTGCTTGATTAATGCCACTCAGCTGGGAAGGGGAAAATCAGGTTCTTGGCCCGGGCTTCACCTGTGGTCAAAGCAAGGCTGCTACTTCTGATACACCCTGCAAATCTCAAAGAGCCAGAAGTTTCTATGATCTTCCTTATTTTGTAAGAAAAGGTAGATAAAGAGAGAGAAGAGGAGCTAGAGCTCCCTCTTCTAAGGCCCTGTGATTGTCTGGGCAGCTTGAATTACAGCAAATTCCTGGGTAGCTACAAAGTTTGCAGCATCCTTGCTGAGGTGCAAGAGCTTCCAAGGCTCACGCACTCCTTCCCAGATTGGCCCGGAGGACTCCCAAAACAGCATTCCCAGAGCCTCTTTCTGTCTGCTCTCAGCTCTGCCTTTGGTTTCATTCATCTAGGAGCAGCAGAGGGAGAAGGTAAAGGAAGACAGGAAGGCTAAGTTCAGGCCTGGTTGGTTCACCACTGTGTATTTTTCATTCAGCCAGTGACTGAACCATGACACTGTCATTTCCTGACAGTTTCCTCTGATATTCTTCCCCCGAGCTGCTGCTAAGTGCCAGCCAATGGAATGTGCCATCTGTCTCTTTAACTGAAGGTTTATGCTAGAAACTCTCTGAAGGACCAGAATTCCAAGCCATAAGGGTCCCTGGGAAAGGTGTCTTTGCTACTTCCATGCATCTTTGTAGTTGTCTTCCCTATGCTTCTACTTATTACCCTGAGGGCCTGCAGTCCTGTGCTATAGAGAAGTTTCCAGGAATCATCAGCCTGCCCGTGCTCAGGGCACTTTGTCACCAGGAACAAGGGCTGCCCTGGTTGAGCCCAAGACTTTATCACTGTCAGCATCTTCATAGGAATTTTGCCTGAGGCCGGGGTCTTGAAGGTAACATGTGGTGAGCATATGCAATAAAATAGAACTCAGCTCAGGAAACACTCACACAGAAGATGCAGAAAGAAATTTTGAATCCACAGTCTGGAGGATGCTTTAATCATGTGGCCAATTAGCTCTATAACCCACAACTTCCCTCTGCAAGGAAGACAAGATTGAAAAGGGCATCGGAAGGTAATCAGTTGGGGAAGCCCAATGCCCAGGTCCCTGCTGGGAGTGAGGATGGAAAGTCCTGCCTATTCCAAAACTCTCTTCCATAGT